ATGGCAGAGAATATTAGACAGGCACCCTCCCCTCCTCTCCCCTTACACAACCCCCATCTACAAGAAAAACAGATGAATACCAAGCTTCAGCTGAAATCTCTCTGTAGAGCATGAATGGAAGGGAGGAGATGAGAGGAGATGAAAGCCAGTGCATAGCAAGAGGGGACTTGAGACAGTTATAAGAGGAAAGTAGGAAACCCTAGCATAGACACATAGAACCATTTAAAGATGAAACACTTTTCAGCTTCAATTGAAGAGAGCAAGAACATAGCAATTCATAGCCTCTTTCTCACCTTGCTGCCCCAGAATGTTTTGCTGGGAAAAGATCCCATTAATTTTACCTGTCTAATCATTTTTCTTTCTAGCCCCTATCCCTCAGACCAATGAGGAACCAGGGCAAGGAGAAAGGAAAGGGTAGTGAATTAATTCAGTTTATCATATTATTGGAGCTTGCTAATTTAGTGCCTATATTTTCTGTTACTTGATTCTAAGAATAGCTGATAATAGAAAAGTGTTTAATCATTTGCATTTGGAGTTTTGATGTGGGGGGAGTCACTCATCCCATGGGGAAAATGGAAGCCTGAAATAATTAAGAAGATAGGTTTTCATATTTCTCTCAATCTCAGATTATACTCCAGAATGTGCCCACTATACTATTACTTAATCTGGAAAAGAGAATGAGCAAAAAATTAGCTATGTGAGTGATGCTGTTAACTCTGAGTTTACCTTTTGGCATTTTAACACTGCATCTCACCTTGCCTCTAATGACACTCCACTATAAACACACACAGAGACACACACACACACAGACAGACACACACACACACATACACACACACACACACACACCAATTCTATTATAGCAATTTTCCAAACATGAGTTTTATCATTTGAAAAAAAAAAACTTCAAAATTTGCTCTAAACCTAGTAGGTGATTAATAAGTGCTGTCTATAGGGGTTCTTGAATTTATTTGTCTGAATATTGCATATCGTCTAGTGCCATTTGCTTTCTGTTTGAAGTTATCTAAATGCTTACAATTCCACGTCTTCCTTTCATAGCAAAGTATTACTAAACTGTTCTGAGTGGTTAGCCTAAAAACTCTTTTTATTACTGCACTACAATCCAATTAGTGCTTTATATTCTCTTCCACATTTCTCTTGTTGAGACTCAGAAGGGCGCATGAGCACACTGTATACAAAGAAATGGAGGAGCTGATTTTTTCCCCCTCAGGTATGAATAAGTCATTTTCTTACCTCCAGATTAGAGAATCTGATTAAGGGAGAATTGAATAAATTCATTATATCAAATAATTATAGTTACCTTCACAGGAAGTTATAGCAGCTTACAAATAAAATACTTTTTAGTTGCTTAAAAATTCATTGTTTATGAAAAAACACCCAGTAGTAGATAGGGAAGGCAATTTTGGTTTAGGACAAGTGTAGTTTATCTTTTTAACAAGGTTGCGTTTTTTTTTTCCTTCAGTTTTCAGGTCTAATGGCTGATCTTCCTTTTATACAAGTAATTTTGTAAGTGAGGCTAATTCATGAAGAGTAGCAGCTTATAAAAAGCTAATAATTGTAATAAAATAAACAGACCATGGAAATAGCCCTAGAGAAGACAAAATAGAAGATATGAAATTACTCTTGTTTTTCATTTAAATATGAAGTATATATTACAACTAAAGACCAAATTCTGACCAATGTCCTCACTGAGAAAGAACAATTGGCAAATCAGTTAATCATCATTCATGAGTATGTTCCTTTCTTAAAGGGACTTACATACGAATAATAAAGCATTATCTTAAAAGTGATGAACATAGGAATATATGGTTGTATTTCACCAGTATTTTTTCTTCTCATTCTTCTCATTTTCTTCTCATTCTCCAGAGACAAATGAGCATTGAATCTTTCATTTAGTAAGACTAAAATAGAAAGATGTAATCAAAAAACAATTAATTTTGGATCAAGTGAAAATATAAACAATTCAGAAATATCCATTGTTTGTTTCTTCATCCCATCTTAGCCTATAGAAAATCCTCACAAATGTAGGCAATAATTACAATCTCAAATTGACTTCTATTAATTTTAGAGAAATATATTTTTTGAAGAATACCACATATTATATTGCTTGCCTTAACGATGGTTTGGAGTAAGGTTGAAGGGAGGGAGAAATTTTGGAACTGAATTTTTTTAATGAATATTAAAAAAAATGATTGGGGACTAAAAAAAAGGCAGTTTGGGGAAGATTCACGACAAAGCACTGTTCTTATAGAAGAGGAGAAATAAATTTTAATGAACACTTTTAACATGAAAATATCTTAAATAATAGTCTCTGCTAGCATAGTATACTGAGTTTAGAACAAGGGTAGGCCTGGCTTTTCCTTGCTGCAACAAAGATACAGTTGAGAAGATGAAACATTAATTTATAGTTCCTGCAATCAGCACAGTTTCATTTCTTTCTCCAGGTCTATTTCACAATATGTGAATAAGGGTAAGAGTAGTGGTTTGTGGGTGGCATAATTGAAAGATGAGGTTTGGCAGGGCATTACAGGAATGATAGAGAAAAGGGATGAGGGATTCAAGTAAAGAGCCTACTATAGAGTTGAATCAATTTACCAGGTGAACAAGGAAGTCTTCAGTAGATGAAAAAATATATAACAGATGTTTAAGACACATAGAGTCATAACATAGAAGTCCCTTAAAATATTTTTAAATATCACACATCATTTAAAAATCTAAATTACCTTTGATTATATTTATCATCCCTTTATGTGTCTTCTTATAATATATGAAACCATACTCCTACGTAGGTTTGAAATGGAGTAACACCACGTGGAAGTGTTTTATCAAATATTGAATTAATCATGGCTCAAAGCACCTATGGCTAAATGAAATTACTGCCTTGCCATGACTACCTGACCTATATCCCTCAAAATGTCAAATTGATATTAGTAGATAACAGGCATGAAGCCTAGAAATGGGAAGACCATTAATCTTTTACTTCTATATGCTACCTAGGTTAAATGGGACACAGATATGTGTATGTCTGGAATGAGACATTTGTATTTAGTCCTGGACAACCTATAAAAACAAGCATTACCTGCTTCAAAATACCCTGTGAGTCATTGTAATTACTCTGTCTTTCAGTTCTTGCTCAAGACTGCTGCTGTATTGGATTAGGTAGTGGATGAGTCAATAACAAAGGCTACAGTTATTCAAAATGAGAAATTAAAGGGAAAGCAATATAGAAAATGAATAGCTATGTCTCCTTTCTGGTGGAGAAAGCATATAGTTAAATGATTGAGGTCCAAAACTTAATTTGGTGAAAGAAGACTCCCTTGAAACTCACAGTCCAATAAAGATCCTCATAAATATTTCCATGGTGGTGGAGGAGAAATCTCTCCTTTTCTAGATACCATATAGGGCAGAGGTTATTTAGAGTATAAAATGGTATAAAGATAATATAGTATTACTTTTAAATGTTGCATTATACTCTGCTGAAATACTGTTCATTTCCTTTTTACTTGAGTTTACTCCAGTTCAGAAGCATCTATTGAGATGCAGTATGGCATGGCAGAATAAGGGCCACTCAGAATGAGAAATAATAATAATAGTAACAATAATAATATCTGTGCATAGTGCTCTAAGGTTAATAAAAGGATTTTAGTAGATGCTATTATTATTGTTATTATTCTAAGAGCAGCTAGGTGGCACAGTGGATAGAGCATTGGGCCTGGAGTCAGGAAGACTCATCTTCCTGAGTTCAAATCTGGCCTCAGACACTTACTAGTTGTGTGACCCTGGGCAAGTCACTTAACCTTGTTTGCCTCAATTTCTTCATCTGTAAAATTAGCTAGAGAAGGAAATGGCAAACCACTCCAGTATTTTTGCCAAGAAAACCGCAAATGAGGTTATGAAGAGTGACTAAAAATGACTGACAACATTATTATCCATATTGTACAGATGAAGGGAACTGAAATTGAGAGGTTGCTCAAGGTCACACAGTTAGTAATTTAGACAGAATTTGAACTCAGGGTTTTTGTGACTCCAAGTCCAATACTCTATCTACTATGTCACGTAGTTGACCAAGGAAGCTAGCCTCTCCTGCGGCTTTTGCTAAATACTGGCTGTGTCACCCTGGGCAATTTGTTTAAATTCTTATGACCACAGACAACTCAATAAGACTTTAAGTTGCAGAAGCAAGTGCCAACCTATATCAATAAAAGGAATGTCCTTATCTGAAAGTTCTCTATATCAATGAAATCACAAATTCAATCTCTATCCCTACCCGCATTGAATCACTGCCACCTGAGACATCATATTGCCTCCTGAATGTGTAAAGAGCAGAAGCAAAGAAAATGTCACTCTATAGGTGGGAAGGAAACAAAGGTTATGTCTTAATTTCTGTCACCATAGATATGTACATTTTTTTCTGTGTTTTGAGAGTTCGGGGTAATAAACTACCAGGCAGACCAAGAGTGGAATCCCTTCTAGGTATTACTTCCAGCCAGTCCACTATAACAGCCCCAAAGGAACAACCTTTAAGACACAGCCCAGTGAGAATTGAGACCACTCATCCACCCATTGGCCATGCCAGGTGGAATGCTTTCTAGAGACTTCAATAAAACAAAATTTACTTTCCCCAGGGACTAATATGTTATAGAGGAGAGTATGCCCTCAAGTTTTCAGGAGAAATCTTTTTTGGTACTTGTTATATTTTTAAAAATAAATATCTATGTGTAAGAGTTAATCATTGTTAACTGGTTAAATGTAACTGGAATGCTAATAACTCTCACTAATAGTGGGAAGAACACACTGAAAGAGGTTTTTGAGCCAATAGCATTAAATAAAGCTAACCTCACTGCTCCCTCATTGGTACCCCTAGAAAACATTGAGGGTAATACATAGCCCTTAGATCTCTGAGAGTAAGATGGACTTGGCCTGAGTCCAGAAGCATTCCTATGCACACATGTAGCAAAACATACACAAAACAGAAACATGTTGTCCTTTCTTTGACACCACATATACCAAAATTGGAAAGATATAAAGATTAACATGGCCGATACATTAGGATGACACTCAGATCTGTGAAGGGTTTCACATTTATGTAGCCTGTCAGAACCTAGGCTTAGACAAGGGTGGGAAACATGCGCCCTTACAGGATTCAGTCAAAGGGCCACACTTGAGAATCTAGAGGACCACATGTAGCCTTAAGGCTGCAGGTTCTCCACCCCTGGCTTAGATCAACACTAAACAATATTCCTCAGTATATTACAAATGGATACATCAACAATATAAATGATGAAACTATTAAAAATTAGAAGAGAAGCAGATCTTATACCTCTCACAAATATGGGTAGGAGACGCACTAATCAAACATTAGACAGAAGCAATTACAAAAGTTAAAATAGATAACTTTGATTACATGAAACTCAAAAACTTCTATGCAGAAAATAAATTAACACATCTAAGATAAGAAGTGAGGTAAGTGAATGAGAAAAAAACAAATTCTTGTCTAAAATTTCTCTGATAAGGGTTTCGTATAGAAGATACACAAAAACACATATATACCTATATGTGTATATACACATGTTATCTATTATATATAAATGTAAGTATATATGTATGTACAAATGTATATATGTATATACACAATATATGTACATATGCCAATGTTTATATACATACATATGTGTATATATACACACGTATATAAAGTATATGTATGTATAAATGTCATTTATGTGTGTATATATATACACACAGCATTCTCCCACTATATAAGTGGTCAAAGAACATGAACGAATAGTTCTCAAAAGAAGAGTTGCAAGGTATTCACAACCACATGAATGTTCCAAATCACTAATAATAGCAGAAATGAAAATCAAAGCAATCCTGAAGTTTCACCTCACACTCTGCAAACTGGCAAAAATGACCAAAAAATGATAATAGTCAATCTTAATGGTATTTTGGAGTGATAGACACATTAATACGTAGTTGGTAGAGCTTTGAGATTGTATTACTATTTTGAAAAGCAATTTGAAATTATGAAAATAAAGTTACTATGATGTCCATATCCTTTCAATAAGATACTTATGTCCCAAGGAAGGTAACAATGAGAAGAAAGTCCCTATATACACCAATATATTTATAGCAGAGTGATGGCTGAGAATTGGACAAAAAATAGATGCCTATGTCAATTGAGAAATGGTTACACAAATTGTGGTACATAAAGGTAATGAAATATTACTGTGCTGTAAGAAATCACAGATAAGATGAACATGGAGAAGCCAAAAATATCTACTTGAACTGATGCAGAATGAGGTAGAAGGAAGAAAATAATATATACAGTAATTGCAACAATGTAAATAGAAAGACCAACACACCAAAAAAAAAAGTAATTTTAACAGAATTATAAAGATTAAACAGGGCTTGAATGAAGAGTTATGGGAAGATATTCCCAAATCTACCTGTTTGTAGAGGCGGGAAGACCACAGATGTTACACATTGGATATGTTTTTGGACTTTCCCTATTAATTGATTCAGTTGTGCTGAGTTGTTTTTTTTCTCTTTAAAAAATACTATTTGTTATATGGTATGGGTATATAGGAGATGGAGGGGTAAAGATACTGGCGACACCTATAGAGATATGGTAAACAGAAGACATAAATAAAAACCTAAAAAGATAAAACAGGTATATGTTAATCTTGCAAGAAGGGAAAGACACTAGAAGCTGAGGTGATCAAGAAAAAAGCCTTTTGTAGAAAGTGGTCCTTACAATGAGTCTTGAAGGCAGGTATGGATTCAGAGCTGGAGCTGGGCAAACTGTACATCTCAAGAATGGGAATTGGCCAGTGCAAAGATACAGAGACTGGAAATGAAATATCTTGAATGAAAAAGCAAATATAATTTGGATGGACTATAGAGTATATGAAAGGCAGTTATATGGAAAATTTTCATAATGTTCAGAAGGTTGAGGCAAGTTGTAAAAAGATCTAAGCAACAGAGTAGTTTCTATTCGGTTCTGGAGGCAATAGGCAGCCAGTGGGGTTTATTGAACAGGTATGTGACATTATCAGTCTTTCACTTTAAAGAAAATCACATTGGTAAATATGTGGGGAATATGTTGGATTTTTATTCTTATTTAAAAGTTGAAGAAACTGAGAATCTGAGAGAATAAATGATTTACCAAAGGAAATTTCAGATACATAATTTCATCCTCTAACTTCCTGATTCCAAATCCAGTCATCTATATGCAATCTTAAGGAGAATTCAGTTTGTAATTATTATTTATGAAATCTCCTTATTGTTTAATTCTAAATTCGGTATTTAGAGATCTTATATAAATAAATGTTGTGCTCTATTTCTTTTTGGCCAAAATTTTTGCACAAAAGCACATTTAAACAATCTTCTTAGTAATTCTTATTCTTTACATGTTTATGAATGGTTATTAACTATCAGTATGTTTCAATGGATGGCTTTCGTACGCTCCATATAAATAGTCACAAACTTAAATGCAAGTTAATTTCATTGTTAGAGAGAATAATAGCAATACAATTCTTTTAATGGTAAAAAAGGTAGAACTTTTGCCACAGTGTAATCCATAAATATTTACTTCCTAAAGGTGATGAAAATTTTACAAACTTTTGAGTCATGCTACAGTACCTAGAATTGGCCTCACTTAAAAATAGAAAACTCTGCAGGACTTCTTTTTATTATTGAATCTGTTTGAATCTGTCCTTTGTATGATGTGCCACAGCCCCTAAAAGAATGGACACATTTTAGTATTGCAGCATGTCTAATCAACAATGAGAACTGACACTTCAAAAAGAAAAGAAAAAAATCTTCATAAAAGTTCTAATACCCTTCTTGAGAAACTGACAAATGTATTTTGCTTTGCTGAAAGTTTCAGATAAGTTTTGAAGTTCCTGATAGAATGTTGAAAACATCGTGCTCTATTATACCGGAAAGTGTTGATAGCTGTTTACACAATGCCAAAGGGTTACAGAATCAAATTGCTCCTATTGGCCAAAATTCTGTTTCCACTAAGACAATGCCATAATTGCTATAAGCAATCTTTCTCTATGAGAAACTATGTGATCTTATAAAATAGCTAATAATCACTCAAATTGATATAGTAATTTGACAACTTGTAGATATTTTCTTCTTGATAACCCTGTAATACAGGGTAATACAGGCAGTTTTATTTTACAGATGAGAAAACAGTCATTTTAACAGACTCTCCCAAGTGGCAAAATTTGTCAAGAGAACAGCTGAGCCTTGAATCTTGATCTTATGACTGAATAATTAAGATTCCTTTCATTACACCCTGCTGCACCTTAATGAGGAAATTATAAAGGAGTACTTCTTGGTATTTTTTGCTTTTGTTTGCCCTATTTTTGAGCCTGAAATATGCTTTAATAAAAGCTATTTCACTTATTTATATTTGCTATAGATAAATATTAGTCTTAATTTTTGCAATCTTTGATCTAGCCAATTAAACTCTGGACTTTCACAGACTACGTTTCATGGACTCCCTATGGGAGAGATTCTAATGCTATCTTTTTTAGCTTACCCCCGCTCCCTCTCCCGCCCAGCCCCATGCACACACTCTTATTTTTTTTTTTTAATCTTAAGCTTCTGGATTTAACTTAGAACTGGGCACCTTAACCAGTCCAAGCAAGGAAAAACAGTTAGATAAAAGATTTAATTGAGACAGAAGAGAATAGTTTTTTTTTTAATGAAAACTGCATCAAACACATTTTTTTGAAAGAAGTACAATTTTGCTATCTAACTCCCCCATCCTGAGTAGTTTGGGAAAATAAGCTTCTTCAAGACTCATGATATCAACAGCAGTTGATGAGTAATATCGTCATATATTGAACATTTTCCTCCTTGCCTTCTCAAGGAGTGGTAGGGAGAAAAGGAGGGAGACAATATAGAACTCAAAATTTAGGGGAAAAAAAGGATGTTAATTTTTTTTTTACATGTAATTGGGAAAAATTGAAGTTAAATGTAAAAAAACAGAAAGGTCTAATACAACTCTACTTATAACAATACTATAAAATATATTCAATGCAATTCAATTCATCAGATATTTATTATTTATCTACTCTATTTAGGACATTGTTCTACATAAAAATAATATATTGATTTGAGGCATAGTGCCTCTACCCAAGCAATTTATAATCTAATAGAGAAGTTAAAAACATTTAAATAATTACAATAGGAAGTAGAATATGATAAATTAATAGAACAACTCAAAAACATATGGAAGAATGAGTAAGGGAGGGATCATTCTAAGTTGGGGCAACAGGGAGTGTTCCATGGAGAAGGTGCCACCTCAAGGAGGCCTTGAAAGAAAAGAAGAAAATCCATACTCAGAGGGAATCATTTTCAGACAAGATAGTGGCAGGAGAGAGCAAGATAAGATTTTAGATGGTTAGTAGTTTAGTTTGTCTGAAATACAGAAGAAATTGGAGTCATATTTTAGAATCTCGAATGCCAGCCAAAGAAACTTTTATTTTATCCATATAGGTAATGGAGAGTCATTCAAAATTTTTGATCAGAGGAGTGATATGATCAGAACTATTCATTAGGAAGGCATTTTGCAGTGGTTCAAAGGGTGGACTAGATAGAGGAGATAGTAAAGGTAGAGAGACTATTTCCAGAACTCTTACAATAGTCCAGGGGGAGAGATAATGAGGGACTTAGGTAGGAAAGGGACATAGGTGAGAGATATTGTGATAATTCAACAAAACTTGGCAAATGATTAGATTGCTTTCCAAATGAAAGACATAGACACCCTAGCTATTTTCTGCCCTCACAATGCTGCTGCTGCTGCTGCTATTCTATTCTCTAAGTTGGACCACCAGGGATCACAGAGACCTAAGTCAGTCAGCTATGTACTGCTTGGGACCCTAAGCCTTCATCATCAGTTCAGCCATTTTATGTCTTATCTTCATTTAAAAATATATATTTTACTTTCTTTAATCATTCAAGATCTTCCTTCTTAGCCTTTTACTCCAACCTTCCTCCTTCATTCAAATAGAAGACAAAAGAAAAAAGAAAACCCATCACAAACAGGTATAGTTAAACAAAGCAAAT